GTTCTTATGTTGCTGCGAGTGCGGTGGGGAGTGGCGGGCGACAGCGCAGCCGCAGCAGCACAGAAGATGACCGGCAAGAACAGGACCGCGATGATTTTCTCGGCGCCGAGTACTTCCCAACAGACGAGGAATGTCAATTGCTCGCCGCGCCCATCTCAGACTTTCTCGAACGCTGCACCAGTTATGATTTGTTGGGTATTTCCACACAAGTTGTGGTGTTGGATGTGGATGTGCCGCTCAGTGTGGCTTTCATTGCTGCGCAGGAAACTCGAATTAACGCCTGTGTGTTGTGGGATACAGTGGCACGTGTGTTTTGTGGAGTGATTAGCTCTACGGATTATATTGAGATTCTTTTATATTGTCATCATAACCCACAGGAGGCAGAGAAGGTTCCTCAATATACTATTCGTCAATGGCTTGAAAAGCGGCAGCAATCTAATAATAATAATAATAATAATAATAATAATAATAATAATAATAGTGGTAAGGGAGGGAAAAATAATAATAATAATAACAGTAATTCAAATACCAAGGGACGTGATGCCTCTAATACTTCTTCTTCTTCAAACACATTCACGCATTCCTCTGTGTTTGTTACCTGTACCCCAGAAACCCCATTAAGTGAGTGTTTAATGAAAATTCTCCGTCATCGAGTTCGCCGTATTGTTATCCTTACAGAAAAGGAAGCTCATGATTTAAGTGTGGTGGCTATTTTGGATCTTCAACAAATACTTATTTATCTTGGAGGTGTCTTTTTATCGATTGAAGCGGCTGGAGGAGGAAGTCGTCGTAGTATGAGTGGAACTACTACTGCTGGAACAGGCAGTGGTGGTCCTAATAATAATAATAACAATAATACTAATAATACTAATATTAATAATAACAATAATAATAATAATAATAGTGTTGGTAATCCTAATACAGTTGGGAATGAAGATGTGGATGCTGCTGAATTGGATATTCTCTCTGGTGATGTTACTCTTCCACCACATGTACGTAATTTATTACTTGCCCCTTGTGATGATGAGAATGGAAATCCCGTGATGGGCTTTGGACGAAAACCCATTGTTGGGCCTTATAGAGGTATTGTAGATGTACCTTTTTGTTATGTTCCTCAGCTTGGTAAACACAGAGATCATGCTATCTTTGTTACGCTTGATTCTCCCTTATTGGAGGCTTTGCAGTTAATGCTACGATATGATATTGAATGTATTGCCGTGGTCTCTGAGGAGCGGATTATTATTGATGTGATTGATCGCAGTGATGTTGTGCGGATTGAGGATCAAGGTGTATATGATACCAATCTCACTGTACGAGAAGCTTTAAGAGGTAAAGTTCAGGCAAAAACATGTGTCTTTCATGCAAAGGATTTATTACGTGATATCTTTATTCATTTTGTTCGTCGTCGTGTGAAGGAATTATTTCTGGTGGATCCGGATACGGATAAGTTGATTGGTCAATTGAATGTAGCGGAGTTGGTGTTCTTTTTGGCACTTGGAGTAACTACCACTAGTAATAATAATAATAATAGTAATAGTAATAGTGCAGGTGATGATAATACTGTTGTTGTTGCTGCTGCTGCTGCTGCTTCTCTTGTATGATTGATTAATGGATTAATGGATGGATTGCGCTAAGGAGTGTGTGTAAAGATACACTTCTGCTTTAAATGTTTGTTTGTTTGTTTTCTTTTTCTTCTTCTTCAAATCTAATTATCTATCTATCTATCAATATATATATATATATATATATATGTCTCTCTTTTTCTAAAAAAATATATATATATATATATATATGTGAGTGTAAAAAGGGGTGATGTTAACATAGGATCAGATACGTTAAGAAAGAGGAAGAGAAGAAATAGTCATGTTCGAACGGCGTAAGGAAAACGAAAAGAAAAAGAAGAAGAAAAAAAAGAAAATACCATTATAATCACAGGGATCTCAAAAGTAAAAGAAAAGAAAGAAAAAATATAGAGAGAGGGAAATGATCAGAAGTAGTGGACGATCAAAAAAAAAAGTTGGGGATTTTTTCTGTTGTCTAGTCTTGAGTAGTGGTTGTTTATGGTGAGGCGATTGGTTTGTTTCTGTGTACCATTATAGTTCTCGTATTTTTTTTTTTGTTGTGGTTGTGGCTGTGGTTGTGGGTAAAATGATGGTGGTTATGGTTGTTTATATAAGCTATCTATCTATCTAAGTATATATATGTATATATATATATATATATATATATATATATATATAGAGAGAGAGAGAGAGGAAGCCTTGTGATGAGATGTCTGTATTTTGTTTTCCTCTTCTTTTTTTTTGCCTTCTTCCTTTATTATGTACTAGTTTCTTATATATATTAGATAAATAGATAGATTGCTCAAGGAGTTATTTATTTATCTATTCATTTATTTATACTTTGATTTTACCTGTGTGTGTGTGTTTATATATACATATATAGTCTATTTTTTTCTTTTCTCGTTAGTGATGTGGCGTGTTTGTGTACACCCTCACAGTTCAACACCGCAATCTTCTTTACGAAGTCTACAGATATCCCTCTGTTTCTCACAGCGCTGGCAATCATCATCATCATCATCCTCTTTGCGTAGGAATAATAATAATAATAATAATAATAATAATAGTTCTACATTGTCTCTTCCTCCACTGCGTTGCCCTGGTGGGCCGCGTGTAAAGGCGGAGGGACTCAAACAACTCTTTAAAGTTCCCCATGCGGGTTACTTGGCAAAGTACGATCAGCGATTTATTCTTAATCTTAAACTCACACATCAGATAGTCACACACCTCTCCCGCACTACACTTCGTACAGGAGATAAATTATTAATTGAACTTGGACCCGGTGTTGGGGCTCTCACACGTAGTTTACTCACACGTCCATGTGTGGCTGTATTAGGAATTGAGGCCGATACTCGGTTTAATTCACATCTTGAACAGATCCGACAATACACAGATGGGAAGTTTCAATGGGTGAATGGGGATGTACTGCAGATAAATGAATTAGAGATTCTACAGTCTTTATATCCAAAGTTTGTGGATCAGCATAGAAGAAGACGGCCTACAGCTGCTGCTGCTGCTGGTAGTAGTAGTAGTGCTTCTCAACAACAAAAACAAGGAGAAGGAGAAGAAGAATCCCAATACTATAGAGAGGATGAGTATAATAATAATAATAATAATAATAATAATAATAATAATAATAATAATAATATGGGTTGTGAAGGGGCACCATTGCGTAATGCACAACGAGAGCGTATTCTCCGACGGCGATTTGCTCAAAATGCGGGATATAATCATGATACAAGTAGTAATAATAATAATAATAATAATAGTAATAATAATAATAATAGTAATAGTAACAAGAAGAAGAATAATAATAACAACGAGAGTGATCGTTGTTTAAATCCTGCATTTGATGTGAGTGATCGTTGGTGGTCTGATGGAGATGCGAAGGTGGAAGTTCTTGCCAATCTCCCTTTTGATGTCATCACGGAATTACTCATGCGATATGCTGTGGACTGTTCACGACGAGAGAATCTCTTTATCTTTGGCCGTGTTCCTTTACACATCTTCACACAAAAGGAAGTTGCGGATCGTATTATGGCCCCTGCTGGTTCCATTCACTTTTCTCGACTTTCTGTTCTCTGCCAGTGTTTCTTTCACATTCAAGTACGACAGACATTTCGTGAAATGACATATTATCCAAAGACGGAGGTGTTGGGCGTGATGCTGACATTACAACCCCGCACACAATCATTACTTCCTTGTATAGATGCGGCTACACTTATGCACTTTACAGATCTTCTCATGCGGCCTGGTAGACGAGGAACGACGGTGTTAACGGCATTACAGCGAGTTGTGCCAGCTGCAGTGGCGCAATATATTCTGCAGGAATTGCGAGTGGATGGGGCTTTGACTGTGTTGGATTTAACAGCAGAGGAGATTTGTAAAATGGCGGATATGTGGAGACGCTTTCTGGAGGCTTCATCTCAACAACAACAACAACAACAAGAAGAAGAAGAGGGAAAAGGAGAGAAGAAGAAAGAGAAAGAGAAAGAGAAAGAAGAGGAGAGATGAGATAAAGTGTGTGTGTGTGTGTGTGGTGGTTGGGTTTGATGGAGAGAATTTGGAATTTTAAATAAGGAGAAGAAGTTGAGGAACTTATTTTCCTTATTTGT